TTCAGACAATTCACGATCACCTTGGATCGCATCCGAACAGCTCGCTTGGGGCAGTAATTCATTGGCATGATCTGAGCTGCTGCCTGGTGATGCAGGATTGAGCAAATCTGCTGGCAAGCAACCTTGGGACCTTCCTATACCGGCATCTAAACGTGAGGAGCGTCCCGTGCTAACCCCCAGAACTCTGACAAAGTCTCGACGCTCACGTCGCCGATCCCGAAGCCAAAAGCCCCGACCCCCGCAAACCCTCAACTGTCAAATCAACAGCTTAGACATGAAGACGTCAGGGGTGTTCTGCAACAATAATCACGTTCTAAGCTCCAACTCTGAATTCTAGACCTTGAAACCGAAACTCTAAGTCCCAAGCCGAGACTGAAACTTACACTGAAAGCACGAGACCGAACCTCAATGCATAACCTATTTATACCTACTTATAACCCCACTTAGGGTACTTATAACCTTACTTCCTAAGTCCCATGATCCTCCAAGCATACCCTGACGTGAGCCTTTACCACCAGGGGCCCGAGGCTAGTAGCCGGAGGGCCTGGCGAGCGACGCGAAAAACAAGGATCTTTACTTCCCTAAGCCCTAACCCCTAAGCCCCGGAAGACCTGAACCCTAAGCCCTAAACATCTAAGCCCCAAACCAACAAAACCGTGAATCCGTTTCTGCAATGCTTTATGGACCTTCTGAGTGTTCTGCACGTATGTCAACGGCGTGTTGGGGCTTCATGTAGGGGCCTTAGTTATTAGGATAGGGTTTTGGAGGCTCCTTATTATACATATAGTATAATATAGCCCTATTGAGCCCTACAAATTATTCAGGCCCCTATATTAGGAGAAGTGTTTGGGATCAGTGGTTGCGAGGGAAGGCCAGGGCAGGGCACGGGTGTGGGATTGAGGATTCAGGATTGATGCAGCCGTCACTATAGGCATGATAGGAATGCAGCACAGAAAGTGACTCAAAGCTGTCGAAGTCAGGAAAACAACTTGGATTGCATCTTTAGTATGGCAACGGACACCAACCTTAGAGACAGATGACGTTAAGATCCGAGATAGCTGTGGAAGTTCCGAGTCAATACAGCGACGATATGCCCCAACCGTTTCTACACAAAACACAGATGTCTCACCATACCCTGGCACTGCAGCCACCAGCCTTACCAAAATCTTGCAACCTGTACACTGGAGCCTTCCCGGAACCCTGAGTAACAAACCTTTAGAGAACCCTCAATCCGAGACTACAAAACCCTGAAGCCACCTCCTAAGACCGCAAGCCTCCAAAAACCATCACTAAACACCCGTAAATTAATCCCAACCAATACTTTTAAACACCTTTCAGATCCAAACCCTGAAACGTACTGGAAACCCCAGAAGGGACTAGTTGAAGGATCATGGGACTTAGCAAGTAAGGCTATGCGTACCTTCTGCGGAGTTATAGCTAGCTATAAATATAAATATAAATATAAATATAAACAAAAATATAAATATAAACATAAACATAAACATAAACATAAATATAAGTATAAATAAAAATATAAATATAAATATAAATATGAGTATAAATATAAGTATAAATATAAGTATAAATATAAATATCAATATAAATATAAATATAAGTATAAATATAAATACAAATACAAATACGAATACAAATACAAATACAAATACAAATATAAATATAAATATAAATATAGATACAAATACAAATACAAATACAAATATAAATACAAATATAAAAATAAATATAAATATAAAAATAAATATAAATATAAATATAAATATAAATATAAATATAAATACAAATATAAAAATAAATATAAATATGAATATAAATATAAATATAAACATAAACATAAACATAAACATAAACATAAACATAAGTATAAATATAAATATAAATATAAATATAAATATAAATATAAATATAGATATAAATATAAATATAAATATAAACATAAACATAAACATAAACATAAGTATAAATATAAATATAAATATAAATATAAATATAAATAGAGATAAAAATATAAATACAAATACAAATATAAATATAAATATAAATATAAATATAAATATAAATATATTAATACATATATATATATATACGTATATATACGTATATATACGTATATATACGTACATGGTCACCCCCCCCCAAGATCTACGCCCGCCTCTTCCACATGATTCCGCAGGTTGCTTCTCTACATTGGTTCACTACTCATATATGCTCAGAACACCGCAAATACCGATACAATCGTGCTTTACTCCATGTGCATGCAAACCGTGCTGCTACAAGTCGCGGCTTTGATATGTGTATAAATCATAAACCTGGCGCATCTCGGCCGCGGATTTATGGTAGTTTATGTGTTGGAGAAGCTGGAACGCTGGAGGCATGCTATTTTTGTTCATATCATACTAGAAAACCTAATGTTTTTGCGTTTTATGGTGTGTTATTTAACAACAGTTGTACATCACAGGCACTGTGTATTTCTTTCGGCGATTGACGGCTGCGCTCACACATGCTCACATGTCACACTGCTACACCTGCCAAAACCGGGTTCGAAACAGTCTCTGTCACGATTCCCAAAACAAGGTATCCAGCATTTTGCCGGTAACCGTTCACATATTGCACCAGCTAAACCAATACTCAAACTGCGCTGAGCGGATCTTTCGGGTGAGCGCGGGGCTACCGGGGGTGCGTTTTGAATGCTTAATGTGAGACCGCAGCAATCCCAAAAACGGTCGATAATTTGCGTGCCGCTCTTGACTTGCATCTGGTCTCCGGTGGGCAACTTGAGGGAGTGAACCTTCGTGTAGCGCGGCTTCACCCATCGAACTTGTAGTGATTTTCGCAGTTTTCTGGTTCTCACATTTGTTACAACAAAATAAAACCCAAATGACAGCATAACGACCGGAATTCCCATCCACTTTGACTTTTATCTTCTTGTGAACCATGTTGCAATGCATCACACCGGGAACCTTGAGCTTGTAGGCACGGGCACCATCGCTATGGAGGACAAACTTCCTGTTGGCAAGATGTTTGGTGGCGATGGGTTTCCACTCCACCTTCCTCATAGCTCCTGGGCCTGGTGCTCGTTTGACGGTTTTTGCGGGATGCAAGCCAAACAACTTCAACGAAGGGGGTCGCCCGCGTTCAGCCAAACCTCCCCACTGTTCCCAAACCGTATTCTTTGTGCTTGTTGTTGTGCTGTCCGTGAGTTTTCCCAAATCCACTTCGTCCACGTCTACGTCCTCCCACTTGCCTCCGTAACGGATTTCCTTTTCCTGCAACTGAACATAACGAGCTCGAGATTTGTCGACATTTGTGTAGACCCGCTTTATGGCTTTATGGTCAAGGTCGAGGATGAGATGCGCAGACTGTGAGGAAACGCCTGCACCCGCACAATAAAGTGCCGCAGCTTGATGACGAAGATCTGTGATGGAATTTCCAGCTGCCCTTGAAAAAGATCGGGTGGAAGTCATGGGCCAAGAGTAGCTTGTTGCATCCACGATGGCCGCATCTGTACCCCCATACTGTCTTGGATTTGACATACGACAACGAACCCAAAGTGCCATGACCACACCGAGGACAATCATGACCATGCCAATTGGGAAGGATCTTGTCCTTGACGAGCTTTCTGATGAGATTGCGACCGGTCATTGACAAGAGCGTACCGAAAGACCCCACCAATCGCGATGGCTTCTGTTCTTGGTCGTTAGCACTCCGTGGCGAACATACGGTACCTTTGCATACTGCTTCATGGCTCGATTCTGCACACGGTGTTTTCCGAGTTTCGGGGAAGGACATGGTGGCGGTTTCATTGCCTTCTTTATGTTTTTGGCATCTTGCCAAAACCAAAACTCGTGAACAGGCGCACAAATCCTAACTTTCGAACTGGTAGAGTCATCCAATGAAGCGAACATGAGGAACAATCCGCGCCATGCGACATCATGAAAATAGACTGCTTGACGACGCAAAAACTCAGCAGTTTTGACTTTTCATGCTTGTGTGCCGCGGTAATGGTTTGCAAAACTGGACGGGCTTTCTGGCTGCGGCCCATGACTCGGAGCATGACTCTAGAAGCTCAAAACATCTAGCAAAAACTTAGAAAGGACAACATGATTCGATATCAACAGTTTGTTTCCGCCCTCGTTATCCACGCACTGTACACGTGTGTTACTACCAACACTTATGTACCTTTCTGACATGCTTTTCAACACATTGTTCTACATGTCGTCAACATCCATTCCTGCTTCCTCGTCTTCTGCCGCCGCAAAATCAGGATTTGGTGGCCCCATGGTAGGAGAGCATCGCGGACTGTGGGTTGACGCCGCCTGCGAATGAAGAAAACCCTCATGTTTGGCGCCCGTCCTAATATACACATGTCATGGGGCTGCATGTTGCATCACGTGGCCTATGTGCCTACTATAAACTGCTTCAGAAATAAACAATTATTGCCTCGACGATCGACTCAGGATTCGGAACTGCTGCACGAGGTAGCTCATCATCGTCCGAAACAAGATCGACCAAACCCTGTAGAGCGGGCAAACGAGGAGGGGATGAGGACAATTCCTGTTTGGCGGTGCCGTACGTCCTCTGACTTGATCTTCTTCTTAGCAGGCGAGTCCAGAGTGATCACCCCGTGGCTCTGCTGGACAGTGCCCGCTTGAAGGCGACGGATTCCTGTTTCATACCTTGGGAATAAGAAACATCAGACTCCCCAAAAAACCCATCCAAACCCCAGTCTTCTGAATCGGTTTCGGGCGGTTTTGCTTTTGGGGCCGGCCCCGGAACGGGCGTCATGAGCATCAACTGGGTGGTTAGTCCTAAATGCTAAAGCCATAAACCCCATAGTACACGACAACACCATCTAAACCAAAACCGCGTCGCAACAGTTCCTCCTTCACCACGGCCGAAGGTTGAAAAGGGAGCCTGATTTCGCAAGCACTGGTGCCAAGATCATCTCTGCGACGAACTTCACAAGGCATTTTGGGGAAGTTCTAGCCGCGGTTGTCCATGACACTAGCCATCCAAGCTCGTTCCCATTCAACATGTGCGGGGTCCGCGGGCGCACGATAACCAGTCCTGTACTGGTTATACTTGGGGCCACTGCTCTGCCGAAGTACTGATTTCGAGTCGTCCAGGAGAATGCGTTCAACCCATACCTGCTTGTCTGTAGCGGGTCTGTAGTAGATGTAGTTGTCGGTGAAGACCAAGAGACACGTCCTTTTCAGAACCGCGGTAATGTCGGAAACTCCGGTCCCCTTCATCCAAGCCGGCTCCAAAATCTCGAGGAATGTCTTATGGCTGATTGAATTGCCCGAACTCCTAGACAACGGCTCTGCTTCCGACTGCAACTCATTGCTGACATAGAACCGCATTTGCCCCTGAGGAAATTTTGCCGCTCCCCACCTCTCCTTGGTCAAGACGGTGTTGCCTACGTCACAAAACCCCTTGATTTTGCGAGGCGGTTGTTCTGAAAGGGTGCCGTCGTCGAATATGTCTGGCCTATCCTGGCGTCCTGCTTCTCCTCTGAAGAAATCAAATTCACAAGCTTCGCGATACCCGGGACATGGCCATGGCAACGATGCGGGCCAACGGAGTTTTACCGACGTTGGGGACACCGTGCATGCCGAGTGCCTTCTCGTTGAAGTGAGGAAAGAACTTCTCGAGGATGTTAGTGGGATCGACATCAACCAAGGTGAGGGGGAAATCATCGACGGGAAGTGCGGGGACAACATCCGACATCAAGTTGCGGAGTGCTTCCTTAATGAGTCGTTCTGGCCAATCCTTTACGGGGGCTTCCTTTCGTGATTTGTTGCTTTGCGATCCACCTCAACTGCTTGTTGGCATGGGAGGGTTCGGGGGCCGTTCTTTGCAATCAAATCAAACCCAATGTCGATGCCCTCTTCCGAAAGGTTCACAAAAAAGGGTGCCTTTGGTGTCACCCCGTGCAGTAGCCGCCTTCGCATTCCCTCCCCAAGAAACTTGGTGTATTTCACCATGACAAAGTTGTTTCGCATATTCTGTCTTGACTTGCTCCTTGAAGATGAAATGTTTCACGAGGTAAAACTTGCTGCGTTCTGAATTTGGAATAAGGGCCAGCTGCATCTCAACACCAACGTCGGGGTTCCTTTGGAAGCCGAACGGTTCCGGAAACCTCTGAAATGCACCATCCCTGGCGTAATGATTCAGCTCCTCCTTCTTACTATGTGAGAACTCAACCTCACCAACCACATCGAATGCATGACGCAGCCGGGGTGGAGCCGCTCCAACCGGTTGGATTGGTAGGTGAGTAGGCAGCACTGGGCCCACGGGAATGTCTACGATGTTAGGCTTTTTCATCTGTCTTATCACTTGCGAGTTCGTAGCATCGAGAGCATCCTGCAACGAGATGTCGGCACCGTCTTGATTCATGGCAGGGAGCTACACTCAGGAGAAAGATATACAATACTTGATACTCGAGATAAAGCAGCTGGCTGGCAGAAAGATCGGCGACCACAACAACCACAACGAAAATCAATAACGTGGACGGACATTAAAACTAACATGCAAAAAACAATGGGCTTCCAGGAGGGGAGCTATAAACTGCAGCGGTTATTGTACAGGACATCACGAAACACTGTACTGCTCAAAACATTCCAGAATTTCCAACCCTGAAACTCACGAAACACTGTAATGCTCCAACAATTCCAAAATTCTTGCATCTATGGCCAGGCCGGTGGCAGATTCGTTGAAAGTTTGAATTTTTTTGAGCATTACAGTGTTTCGTAAGCTTTGAGGCGTTGAAAAGTTGGTTTTTTTGAGCATTACAGTGTTTTGTGAATTTTAAACCACGAAACATTGCTATGCTCAAAAACGTTTCTTTGAGGCTGTGAAAAGTGGATTTGTTGAGCATTGCGGTGTTTTGTGAGTTTTAGACCACGAAACACCGCTATGCTCAAACAAAGTGAGCCTTGACTCTGTGAAAAGTGAAAAGTGGATCTTTTTTGAGCACTACAGTGTTTTGTGAGGTTCAGGCTACGAAACACTGTAAAAGTTTCCAACCCTGAAACTCACGAAACAGTGTAATGCTCAAAAAAAATCCAAAATTCTGGCATCTAATCAGACTTAAACCTTGCGGGGGGGTAGGGTCCCTAAAGTCTTAGGGTTTCGAACCCAAGCCAAAGCCCCAGATCCTTAACTAAAAACCAGCGTCCCATACCCATCATACAGTTAAGCACCCATAAATAAATCAACGCTTCAAGCTTTGTCCGGGTTTCAGGTTTAGGGTTTAAGTAGGGGATCGAATCTCTGCTGAGAAGGGCTCTGGCCAGGGGTGGACGGCCGTGGAGCCCTAACCCCTCTAAACCCAATCGGGTCCTATTCCCAAGGGTCCATGTAACCAAACGGTAAAAAACCTTGGGCCCAATGTACCTAAGTCTTTAAAGGAACCCTTACAGAAATCCTGTTTGGGGTACATGGACCCTCAAGGCATTCCTCCGATCTCTGGAAGCTGAGCTGCAGTAGACGGAGGAGGCAGCGCCCTGGCACGCGCGGCCTGCCATGAACCTGAGCTACGGTTCCGGTTCAGAGTTCCTTTAAGGGTTACTATAACAGGTCATGCTATAGGGGTTTAGGGTTCTTAGTAGGCTGTCTGGTTCTTAGTAGGGAATGGGTTATGGGGACTATTGTTGGGGATGTTAATAGGGACTTACAATAGGGATCCATTCCCTCACTCCCCAGTAAGCACTAAACATCACTAAACAGTTTCTAGGGGTTTACCTGTAGGCCCATACCCTACCCCCTTTTAGGGGATTTAGGGTACCTACAGTTCGAAACAACAGATCCTAACCACAAAAATAAGTATCCAAAACAGGGGGTAGGGTATGCGCCACTAGGTACCGTTCAGAGTTGCAGGGCCTATGTAACGTAATCTTCCCCGACATTGTTCAACTTACGTGTTCAGTGCCCTAGAGGAACTAGTGGTTAATCTTTGGGATTAACCTAACCTTTGGGATTAGACAGGGGTTAGATTACCCCAAACGGGTTGCCGTAAAGGTTACCTTCTCTACTTCCAAATCTTCATCATTGGGCTCACTCAATCAAGGTGGACCCGTTCTTACATCGAACGAAGAAGCAGGGCGGTCGCCGCCCCTTATGGCTTGTCCCAAATACACATTCCCAAACTAGCCAAAAAAGCTCCCGCTGTTGGGCTAAACTTTCCTTGCAACGAAATGCATTGCCAATGGTCCCTCGTTTCAGCTCTCAAACCGTTCCAATGTCAAGATAAGCCGTCCGACACCCAGCATCACTGTGACTATAACGACACCATTAGAGAAGCGTTTTTGGTTAACAACACCCTTATTTCTGCCAACAAGGATCATCCCACAAATTAGGGTGCAAAATTAGGGTCCCCTGTTTTCGGAAACTCCCAATACTGTTTAAGACTTTAGGGCTTCGGGCTTAGGGTAACGAGTCCTTGGATTATACAGAGCTCCTTTCCAATATAGTGTTGAAAGTTTAGGGTAACGGTTCCTTAGGGCTCCTCGATATAGTTGCACAGCTCCGAAACTCTTGCATTGGCCATACCACAATGAACCCGAGAGTCTCAAGCCTAATTTGCTAGACATTCCGTCAGGGTCCAAGCAGTCCTTATGTATGGGTTTTTGGTACCTGAAAAGGCCCAAAAGTCCTATAATATTGAATACTTGGACCCTTAGGGATTCATACCCTTACCACTCCGCTTAGCCCTACGCCCTATTCCAAATTTGGTTGTGGGAGCCTGACTTGCCGCATCTTTCTTTGAAGGGCCTGTTGTTCTTTGAGGGTCATGAAGAAAAGAACAAATGGTAGCAATCCAGAAAACGTACTACACTAAACCACGACGAAAGCCCCAGAACCATCATCCCAGAACATCCCGTTAAATTTGGGATTTGAGGCTGCAGGATTTAGGGCTATCGTAGGACGTAAGGCTTGGGGGTTTAAAGTTTCGGGTTCAGGGGCTTGGGGCTTACATTCTAGAGCTTGGGACTGAAGATTTGAGGCGTAGGGTAAGTTTTAGCCTTCTGGCTGTTCGGGTCACTTCGGTCAGGTTCGTCGGCATCAGGTAGGGCCCTTCGGCCTCCTCCCCGTTTTCCTTGGAGGACGCTGATTCTGCATATGTGCTGCACCGAAGGAAGAGGCTCCTGCATCTCTAAGCACTTCAATGCCTTGCTTAGAAGGCCCCCCCGGCTGCGGCAGCCGGTGCTGCCTCCGCATGTGAGCGCGATGTCGCGGTGGGGATGGCGTAGCAGCGGTGGAGCACTCTGAGGGGTTTCAGATGCCTTCGTCTTGCCCGGAGATGCGAACCAGAGCCCGTGGAGAGCCATCCTGTCCCAGGCATTCAGAAACGAGATCTGCTCTCTGAATGCGGCTAGTATCGCTCAAACCAAACTCGCCGATGGTCTGTAGACTGTAGACGGTCACGCAGCCAGGCATGGCTTTCGATGAGGATTCGTGTCCCCTTGCCCACCAAGTACAGGAACTACAGTTCTGATTTTCAAAAGTATCCCCACAGTATCTAGGGCTTTAAAGGGGAACCACATGATGAAACCCTTTTGTATCATTTAAAGGGAGCCCTTTTTGTGGCCCAAAGGGGAACCCTATGATTAAACCCTGTGGTATCTTTTAAAGGGAGCCCTTTTTGTGGGACCCTTTGGGTACGTGCATGTCCCGGCGGCAATCTCATCGATGAGGACGATGCAGGGCGCCTTCCTCGGTCTCTTGCTTTGGGCTTATAGGGCTTTGGGTTTAGGGCTAAAACGGTTTTTAGGGTTTAGGGCTAAGAGGGCTATTAGGGTTTAGGGCTCTTCTCTCTCGAGCCCTTGCCTCCACGCCCCTTTCATTTGAAGGTCAGCAAGCAATACAATTTGGAAATCCCAGAAATTGCCCGAAACAAACCGTAAACCAACAGCGCAAAACTACAAACAGCATAGTGATTGGTGTGCTGGTTTGCTGGCTGGATTAGGACTTGGATGTTCCCGCCAGGTCGTGCATAAATCCGGGCTTTAGTTCTTTTCTCCTTCCCTAGTAAAGAACCACCGAAAACACAGAAAACATATTCTCCAAACCCCCCAACCCTCAATCGTATAAGCCGTAAGTTTCGGACTCGAAAACCCTAAACCTAAAACCCCTAAAACCCTAAACCCCTAAAAACGCTAACAAACCCTAACCCCCAAGTCGTCTTCGTGATTTACAAAACTGCGATGTATGGTCTTATATGTAAAATACACGCAGAAGTATAATCCGCAGTGTATTCCCATACGAAGTGAAACGAACCATATCGTTGCAATCCATATAGGATGGTTCCATATAAATCAATCTGCGAATATTCGAAGGTCAGTCATAATATTGCAAAGTTCTGCAAAGTACTCGCACTCTCTTCATTTTGCGTGAGCGACGGAACAGGGGAGATCAAAAGCATGCAAACCGCTAACGTCCGTGGCACACAACGCCCTTTCGCAACGAGCCACAGCTCCACAGGACCCGTTTGCCCCCCCCAGGGCGGGAGGGTGGGAAAATTCGATTCTCGGTTGTGACTGTCCTCCGGGCCACAACTGCAGGTGCAAAACATTGCCAAGTGTTCTGCAAAGGATAAGATGCAAAGAACTCTCACAGCATGAAAGGCTCGACGTGAGAAAAGAAGGTCTGCGCCTCACAACATGTAAAATGTTCAGCGTGAGAACAATTTTTTCTACGGCAGTTTTGTGTCGCTGTTTAGCGACTATAAATCAAAGACAACATGATCACATTCGTGAAATAGTCGTCTTCGTGATTTACAAAACTGCGATGTATGGTCTTATATGTAAAATACGCGCAGAAGTATAATCCGCAGTGTATTCCCATACGCAGTGAAACGAACCATATCGTTGCAATCCATATAGGATGGTTCCATATAAATCAATCTGCGAATATTCGAAGGTCAATCATAATATTGCAAAGTTCTGCAAAGTACTCGCACTCTCTTCATTTTGCGTGAGCGACGGAACAGGGGAGATCAAAAGCATGCAAACCGCTAACGTCCGTGGCACACAACGCCCTTTCGCAACGAGCCACAGCTCAAGGGCTCCACAGGACCCGTTTGCCCCCTCGCAACGTCCGAAGCTCAAGAGAGGTGAAAGGCAGGAACTGGGCCCTTGAAGTGGCAGGTAAGAAGGCTCCAAGGTAGAGCACCGACGTCTAGGCACCTTTGAGCGACGATCCTCACAATGCCGTCAATGTTGATGACACGACCTCCTACCATCATTGCTGCGGCCATGCACTCGCCACGGCTAGGCAGGTCAGCTATGTTGGAAGCTGATGGCACGCGTTCTATCCAAGTAACAAGTCTGTCTCTGCACTCGCTTCCATATAAGGCGTGAGCCAGTGCCAGCAGCGCTCTCACTGGGCTGCTACCGCGGGTCATGCAATATCTAGCAGACTCATTATTGACGAAGAAGAAAGCCCGACGGCCCTTGGCGAAAGATGCTGCGTAATCTCTCGCAATCACCATCGCGAAAGCCTCAGCCTGTGCAATTATCTGATCTTCGGTGTCATGATGCCACAGCTCAATCAAGGAAGAGGGGATTTGGCCTCCTGCAACTTCACGCCGCCCTGAAGCAGGATCAAGGACCACTAAACCCCAAGTTGCAGCCCCTTTCTCGTAGGCAGCGTCGGTGAAAATCACGAGGGGCCGCAAAACTCCACTCAAGCACATTGTCTTTGGCGTAAGTCTTTTGAGGTAAGCCCCCAGCGCCTTGACTTCGTCTTGTGTCCAAGTGCGGTTTGCGTAAACGAAGTTAGACAAGGCACGGCACACAAGCTTAAGCGACCTACCCGGCGCAAAACCAACCATGAAGTTAAGCTGCCCTTGCAACGACTTGGCATCTGCGCGAGAGATTTCGCCACTCACACACATCTGCTGCGCAACTCGCAGAAGCTTGGCGACTCCCGAGGGCTTGTTTTCCAAAGCAATGCGGCCCACATGAAGCGACTCAAGCGAGAGCTGGATTCCCAACAAGTTAAACTTGTTCGAGAACGGCTTGTCTTTTTCGACGTCTCGACTGTAGCGCCACCCGAGACAGTCGAGTAACGCTTCGATCGATATGGTGCATAGCTTGGCCGTCAAGGACGGTTCTATCAACGGAAAATCATCGTAGAAAACCCCACCGACCACCCCAAGGAGGGTGGTCGCTAGGTGGAGTAGACTGCGGCTGATTCGGTTGAAGCTGTAAACCGCTGCACATGCCCCGAAAGGCAGGGAGTTGCTTATGAAGAAGTTGTGTGCGTTTGTCAGCGGATCGCGCACAAGAAGCACCGCAAACCGGAGGCTTTCCGCTGACAAAGGCACTTGCTTGTAAGCTTTCTCCAAGTCAAGGCAACGGCCTACCCAGGTGCAATCGCGACCGAAATCAGGGCTGATCCTTTTCTGGAGCCGTTCTCCGCTCCGGAGGAGAACCGAGACAACACCCTTTTCGTTCACAGCATTACAGATGAAGCGGCACAAGGTGATGAAGAAATCGACGTCGTGCAAACGCAGACGATCAAGGGAATGAAAAGCTGCGTTAATGCCACTTTCGCGAAGATCATCAATCGGCCTAAACTTCTGGTTATCCGCACTTCCTTGGACGATCAGGAATCTCCTAGTGCAGCAGAGGGTTTCCTCACCCAGTGCGGCACGGACTTGCTCTTCAGATTGGTATGGCCCCTTGAGAAAACCTTTCTGCACCTCCTGAAGCGTGCACTCCAAAAGCTTGCCTGCAAGATCATCCGGGTCGTCATCGGGCGGCTTCTGGAGGGCGTGATTCCGCCACACAGATGAGTCCAGAAGATCTTGCACAGAAGAAGTCGCAGGGACCTCTTTCCACTCGAAGAGCGGTGACTTATCTGGTTTGCCGACGAGGTTCACACCCTCCATGAGCTCGCCGACTGAAACATCCGGGAACCCCGTCTCCTGCAACAGCTTTCTCCAAAGCAGTATGCACTTGCCTCTCAAGACCTCTTGAGCGTGCTGGGGTAATGAAGCGTGGAATCTGGCTTCTTCCGTGGCGAGCTCCTTAGCCATTTGATTCACCTTCTTTGTTGCATTGATGCGTTTTTGAGCAACCGACGAAAGGCCTTTGGTAAGAAGATCAAAAATGTTCCTCCTGGTGTTGTCGTCGATTGCTGATGCATCGTTAAAGGGATGATCGAGCTTGAGGGCTTTGTGAGTAAACTCCTGCTTTGTGTGAAATATGCCGAAAGTTGAGCAGCTTCCGTCCTTGCCCCCGTCACGAACAAGCTCGCGAAACTCACCCTGAGCAGGCCTAGAATCCCTAAACTCCTTAAACTCGGGGATGAGCTGCGGTGCACGGCGTGTTTGTCGCACCGTCGGCCTGGGTAAAGGAGCAGGACTACCGGGGAGGGAACCACTAACTAAGCGGCAGAATCCACTGCACAGTTTTGGCGGGTACTCGGCTTCCGAGGCTGTAGCAAAACTCCAGCGGCCTGCTGAACGAGCTACTGCAAAGGGCAGGTGGGCATGTTGCCCATCACACTCGCAAGCCAGTGGGCACAAGGCTTGCATGGAAGTGAGCAGCCGAGAAACCTTGTCACGAGCACCGCCCAGCATGCACTGCGCGTAATCCACATGATGAAGGTCATTGAAGAACGATGCCAATGTTGGTGACCTGTGCTCACGCGTGAAGTGGGCCAGCACCGACCACATCCAGCTTCGGACTGGATTCTCAACTGAGACATGCCAGCCTTTCTCGTGGCACAACGCAAGCAACTTCACCGTGAACTTGGCAAGAAGATTTGCAGATTGCACTCGAGCCTCATCGCTGTGGGAAAGATCCGGCAGGCCCAAGACATGATCGCTGGAGCGCAGTGGTTTCGGCTGAGGCGCCCCAGCTGCCAACAAGTGCGCAGGCAGAGGGCGCTCTCTTGCACGGGAGCCCGTACCGCACGGCAGTGCGATGTGCATCAACATGACTGGTGATTGCAGAAGGCGCTGCACCAACACATCCTGACACTGCTTGACTGTGAGATCCAGAGTCCACACCTGATGCAAAGGTTTATGCTTGTTGCGAGGGCCATCCACGGCCAAAACCTGAAACCCCGCGGCTGCAAAGGTTGAGGAAAGCCTTGCACTTCCAGCAAAAATCTCAACGAACATTGGCGCTGGCGAGCTTGCAACCGAGGTAGGCTGAGGGGGCTTGGGTGGAAAACTCGGTGTGGCAACACCGGAGGCTGAAGCAGCATGGAGAGGCTGCTCACGCGGCTCAGGCAACTGGGCAGATTGGCACTGGGCTCCAGGCGAAGGTTGAGACAGCGGTAACGGCGGGGAGGCGGCAAAATGCCGACGGGGCCTGGCTCAGGCGTTGCATCACAAATGGCCAAAACGCGTTTCTCAGAAGGGCTCGTCTCATCAAGATCTGGCGTCCAGTCAAATCCGGACTGCAAATGCAAATTGTTAAATCCTGGCCTCGAGAGCCTGAAACCTAAATTGTTCAAGAAATCTCTATCCTGGGCACGTAAGTCACAGGCACCACGAGTACTGAAGGCAACTAATACGATGCGCTTGCCCTTCCACTCGCACACGTCATGCTCGCATGACCTGGCATCAAAGTAGACTGGGCCACCCTCGAATGACAAGAGTTTCGGAGCCTGAGCATCAGCAGTGAAGCAACGAATCTGGCCACCTGAGAACTGTGTTAGCGGGTAAACGAAATTAAGCGAATTCGGAAGATTGTTCGCATCTCTGTGACGGCATACTCGAAATTGCTCAAAGATGGCGACGGCGCCGCACACGAAATCCGGTTGCGTTTCGGCATTCACAAATGCGCACAAGGTCTTAGTGAACTCGGGATGCAAACGGCTATTTGCCCTCAACCCGACTGACGACCCTCTAACAAAAGAACCCGTGGTGAAGCAACGGCCCTCGGCAGCCTGCTTGCCCTCTGGGAGCGGGTCACCGGGGATACTATGGAAAATTGAAAGAATGTTCTGCACGGCGGTGGCGTGCTTGCACGCCGATGCATCCAAGGAATCTGAAACCTCGAGCGAACCGAAGGGGCTGCAGAAGTCACCCGTTTGCAACGGCGGACCCTCGCACTCGGCTGGCAGCTTCACTCGCGAGGGCTGCGAAGCCCCAGGCAATCAGGCAGTGAACGAGTGAGGCTTGAAGCACCTCCAACAGACGTGTCGGCCACGGCGGCAGCGCTTGCCGTCTTTGGCAAACTTGCAACCATCCTTATTGTAAGGGAAACAAATCGGGCAGCCATCCGGGTCTTTGCTTGAACATCCATCAGGCAGCACATGCACCTGCGGAGGCGGCAGCACCTCGACACCTTGCTGTTGTTTGCCACCTGTCTTACCTTTGCCATCTTTCCCCTTGCCTGTTTTACCCTTCTTGCCTTTAATCCCTTTACCCCCGTGAGTCCAAGTTTCATAAGGCTCGGTCCGGTAGGTGTTGCCAGTGTTTGCGGCTCCGGGAATCACACAGACCTGCACCTGGGGGGTGATTTTTCATGGCAAGAAGTTGCCGCTCCATCGGTTTGGAGCCATCCGGCCTCATGCTAAGGGCACCCCTGGTCTCTTCAGCAATTTTGAGAAAGAGGACCTTGTCAGCTTCTTTGACTTGTCCCATCGTGATGCAAATGCGACCTGGCACCGGAGGACGGGAAAGCAGGGAAAACATTTCCTCATGATAGGCCTCCATCACAGCGAAGGAGCACAGCTGTGCCAGATCGTAACACAAAGATCTGCGCTGTACTGCCTGACGCACTTGCAACTCACCTGTCAAGGAGCATTGGGCGTCCTGGAGCTTCTTGTTTAAGCGCAGGTTTCCACTGTTGCCGAAGCTGATAGACAAATCCGACTTGTTGGAGACGATCTCTTGAGCACGACTTGTGTACTTCTCCCAAGGCAGCCAGATGAGCTGCTGATCAGTGCCCTGCTGAAAGACAAGGTCGGTCACTCGGTAACTTGGTTCACTGTCGCTTAAGAAGTGGACTCCATTAAGCCGTTTGCGTTGCTCTTCGATCCGTGTAGTTCGCTCTGCGACGGCCAGTCGCACTGGCTCGGCTGAAACAATCGTTCCTTTCAACCTTCTGTTTGAGCTCACCCATGCCGGTCGTCGAAGCCTCGTACCACAGCCTTCGAGTCACGAAGAGCTCCTTCTGTGTAAGTTCACGCTTGACCACCTCCTTGAGGGCGTCGATCAGAGGCTTCTCATCTGAGTGGCCCACCTGGAAAGGAGAGATAAACGCTAGCGTTCCCATCGTCGTGACCCCGCCGTCCTCAAGCAGCTTGAGGAAATCTGGCGCTAAACCTATTTCAAGCGCCCTTGCATGAAAGGCAGCAGCTGAGTCCAAGGTCGAGTGGCCAGGACGGGGGCAAATTCCTTAACAGTTTGGAATGTTTGAGCATTACAGTGTTTCGTGAGTTTCAGGGTTGGAAATTTTTGAATTTTTTGAGCATTACAGTGTTTCGTGCTCCCCATGCCCCAAGAACCACGAAAGTGTAGATCTTGGGCGGGGGGGAGAGCATATATGGTGCCGCGTCGCCACGTCGCAGGCCCCCCCCCCCACCCCCCATGGCATGCCCCCCCCCCCCTTGCCCAGGCCAGGCCTCTCGTCCCAGCAAACAGTCATCCACGCAACTCCCCCCCAAAACATACCTCTCCTTATAAAACGGGGAGAGCGGGAGGGGTAACCAACAATCCATAGAACCACAAGACAGAGAACCACAGGGCCCCTTCCCCTTCCCCTCCCCTTCGACATACAGATGAGAATGATGGCGATGATGTTGTGCCCAATGATGTTGATGTGCTGTTCCCAGTGTGGCTGTTGGTGGTACCTTTGCTCTTGTGTTGCTCTGGGCTTCGGCACCTCATGCTCATTGCTTTATTTAGTGTGAAATTCGTGCTTGGCTTGTGATGTTCTTGCGAAACTGTATCGACCGTTGTCATTCCAGGCCAAATTGTGGTTGGGTTCGTTAAAAGTAAGTTTGAGCACGAATTTGAATGATTTTCATTCGGGACTCTTGAGCAAGGGACCGGAGGAGAGTGCGGATGGGGATCATGACCACCATCTTGGTGGTCATTATCATAACCAGAATATTCATCTCTGTCATTGGCTTTGGAGCTCAGGGCACGTCGGAGTCCAGTCGAACTGTATCACATCCTAAGGCCAAAACCCTGCGCAGCCGGACGCCCAACCAATAGCCATGGAAGGGGGCACAGCTGACCGCAGCCACAGGGGGGAGGGGAGGGGGGAGCCCACACCACAGCGAACCACAGGGGGGATACCATGGGGTGGGGGGGGGAGGGGGGGGCCTAGCAGCGCTGCACCCTTTATGATCCTGCTTCTCAGTTCACCGACCCCCCCCCCAATGGTATCCCCCCCCCCACACTCCCCGAATCTGTGTGTGACTGTTTTTCCACACGAGGGCTCACACGCCAACAGGAGACCCAAACCACACAACACCACAGGGGGGAGTGGGGTAACCAGCCTAAGCAGACCCCCACTCCCGAACCACACCACACCACAGGGAGGGGGAAGCAACCCACAACCACACCACACCGCGGACACCACAATAAGGAGTGGGGTGACCAGCCTAAGCATGCCCACTCCCGAACCACACCACACCACACCACAGGGAGGGGGAAGCAACCCACATCCACACCACACCACAGGGGGGCAGGAGGAACCATTGGGGGGGGAGGGGGGGGGGCCGGCCGAACCGGGATCATATATATATATATATATATATATATGTGCATATCTAGTTACCTGAACTATGACCCTAGTTTCTAAGTCCCATGATCCTCCAAGTAATTAGCTCCAGCTTTTGCTCCAGAATCCTAGGTGCCTTCAACAGCCTGCGCTGTGGTTGGCGGGGCGCACTGCTTGGGGCCGGACACTGCCTTACACGTGCCATGCTAATTACTAGGGCTTGGGGTTTAAGGCGTCGGGCTTCGATTTAGAGTATATGATTTGGGGTTTAGGGCTTAGGGTTTAGGGCGCAGGACTAAAAGCTTAAGGTGTCGAATATACTTCTATATTGAGGCAATTAGTGTTTGGGGTTTGGGGTTCACGGTTGACTCAGGGTCTAATGGCTTCGCTTTTATGATTTCGGGTGTGGTGCATAGATGCATTTCAACAATAAGGATCAAGAACGGCATCAGCTGTCACGAATAAAGGTGGGGATATGAAGGCCAGCATGATTGAGAATAGTAAACGAATATACTGGTTAAGAGCTACTCCGACTCCATTGTGTCCTGTCTGTGGCTACACGATTGCCTCGGTAGGGTTTAGGGTTTAGGGCCAAGTCTCTGGCGAAAAACGGTTCTGTTCTTCGTGGCGAGAAACTGAGATGGTTGTCGTGGTAGTAGATACATGTAGTGGAACCCTAACGCCGCACCATCTTGAACCCAACGACCTTCAATAGTCAATGTTCACACAATCCTGAATGTACCCACAACTACCCAGGCTGCGCAAATCGTAAATCTTAACCGCTACACTCAACTGCATGCGGGGTCTAATCACCACGAACATCTGAAACCGCCTCGAACCCTTCTTAAACTCGGCTTCCCCAACCAAAACTGAGCCCTTCTGAAACCCTCATATCCCGAAACCCTGTTGAAACCTGCATGCAAACCTTCATCCCGAACCCTAAACCCGTATGAGATCGCATTGAACAACACAACAGCGTATCCCCAGATCCTACAGCCATTAGTTCCCCTACGAACCACCACCCCAAGACAAAACTACGTAAACCCGAAACCCTAAACCCCAAACAACTCTAAAACCCGAAATCCTTGAAAACTAAAAGGTTTCAAAACCCTAAACACCTTTAAAACTCTAAAAAAACCAAAAAAAAAAAAAAGGTACAAAAGGCCGGGCCTGTGGGGCGGCAACGAGGCCTTCTGCCTCCTGCCCCAACCAGCAGCCATGGTTGTTCGTGTACCTTGGGGGCTTTAGGGATCCTTTATTTTTTTTTTTTTTTTTGGGGGGGGGGGGGGGTTAGGGATTCTTAAATTTTTGGGGGGCTTTAGGGATTTTATTTTGGGGTGGGGGCTTTAGGGATTCTTTATTTTGGGGGGGGGGGGGTTAGGGTTTGGATGTGCTTTTGTTCGAGTACCATGGGGCCTTTACTTGGAGGATCGTGGGACTTAGTAAGTAAGGTTCTAAGTACCCTAAGCGGGGTTATAAATTATAAGTTACAAGCGCAGATACCTTATTTATAACCCTAGCTACTAAGTCCCATGATCCCCTAAGTAGGGTTAAGGGTGAAGGGTTTAGGGCTTATCAGGTTTCTAGAGGGGTTCTAGAATAGGATTTTCTAAGGCCCTACAAAGCCCAAATGGGTTGTAAGTTGGGCTTCCCAGGATTTTGTGCCGAAGCTTGTCAAACTACAGGGTCTGGGGCGTAGGCGTAGGAAGTGGGGTTTACGCAGGTCTGGAGTTTTCGAGTGCGGGTTCAGGTTTTTGTGTGCTGTTCGGAGTTGCACGAAGCTAGATCGCAGCTATAAGTCGGCATAGGGACACAGCTACCTTGCTGACGGAGGCATTCAATTCCTTAACCTGGGAGGCGGATCCTTGGGTTGGTGGTTCTTGGTTGTGTCCTAACTTGTCCAATACTTTGAGTTTTCTTTAGCTGCCCTGGGCGCGGACTATACAACGTCCCTCCCGTTGGCGACGCCAGATGTTTCTGGTCTGGCTTAAAACGCGAGCCCACCACTCTCTGTCTGCTGCCACTTCCAATATCTTATGTTTGATGTCTCTGTCTATTCCAGCCCCCGCGAAGAAATGGTCATTGAAAATGGTCGTGGCGAGACCGAGCAATCTGTTGGGGTACTCAAGGTGATCCTTTTGTGGGTGTTTCTCCAAACGGATCCTGAATCCACAACTCTCCTCCATCCAGCCTTTGGCTGCTTCTTTGTTGGTGCGCTCCGCTAGCTTAGGGTTTAGGATGAGTTCTCGCTGATGGCCTTGCTCTCGGCCCAGGTGTCTGCGCTGATCACCGCCCAGAGCCTCTTCGTGACCTCTGCGGCTCTTTGCCCACTCCGTTGCTGCTTGTGCCGCGGAGCGATCGAGGTGCTACGCCCCTCCCGCCATGAGGAGGTGAACGCCCAGCCCCTTCACTAGGGGCTACAGCAGTGCCCCCAAACGACAGGTCTGAACCCCACTTCCTGATGCCGGACTCTAAACCGCAATATGGCGGGCATTAAATTGAATACGAATGGTACATGACGCTGAACACTAAACAATGGACTTACTCTTAAACCCGGAACTCTGAACCTGCATCGATCCCCTGAAAACCCTTCCGACAAGAGCCCCACAAGGCCCACCTGCAGCCCTCGAACCCCGTCTACTTGGAGGATCATGGGACTTAGTAGGTATGTTATAACCGGGGTTATAAGTCCCCTAAGTGGGGTTATCCTAATTATAACCTACTTATAACCAAGTCCAATGAGCCTTTAAGTACACCCAAACCGGATGCTTGAACAAAGTGCGAACCCTGGGAAACACTTGACAAAACGACTTATGAAGACAACCAAATGCAAAGGAAACCTCAAACCCAAACCGCAAGTGAATATGCCTCTCTGGGGGGATGTCGGGCTCAATCAGCTCCCTGCGAAGATGCTATAAGGGCCTCATAGACTTATAGGGTCTTATTGGGTGTTGAGGCTTAGGGTTTAGGAGGGCCTTACGAGGTCTTGCTGGACTGCCCGGTGCTCGACGAAGCCGGGCGGCCAGGTGAAGTGCTGGCAAGTCGGATTGCTGGCACAGAGTGCCCTGAGCTGTCTCTTCGTGCTTTGTACCCAAAAAGCCCAACTAAAGAAAAGAAACAAATTACAAGGCGCTGAGTCTGAGAATCTAGGGTAAATTCCCTTGGTTAATTAGGGATTATTGGGCTCACTGGGTACGGGTTCTGGAAAAAGGCTTTGGCGGAGATGTATCGGGGATTTGTGACGTAGCTTGCTGCTGTAATGTGATGTATGATGCAGGGCCTCGGAAAAAGAGAATAAGGTTTCGGAGTATAGTGTAGGACAATTCTGCAGAAACTACACAGGGATAGCTTTCGTTCGAAACTGTCACAGCCCTTCAAGCTCGACGAGTGGGACGACCGTTGTGTTGGGCCATGACCGTCGCTGCTTACTCCCAAAACTGTGCAAAGCCATTCCTATGCTCGAGATTCCCGACCCCAACATGAGCGGGGTTGAGGATCATGAATAATGAACAACGGCGTTCCCCGGCATATCCCCCGCACCCACTTCAAGATCCTACACCCGAAAGTGTAAACCCAGGAACCCCTCATCACACGACCTTTCTCTCATCCTGTAGAGAACCCAACCCTCAAGGGAACCCCCAAAGGATCCCAAGCCCATAAACATGGAACAAGAGTCTGGCAAGCAGAAGCGTCGACCATGAAGGCACCGTTTGGCAGCCCTTGCACTGGCGGCGCAGCGTCCCTGTACCTGGGAATATCGTGCTTAGGGATTGAAGGTTGTGGTGGCATGGCTCCAGCATGTTCAAGCTACAGTTTCGGATTTAGGGTTACTTCGTCAAGGTTCACTTGAATTTAAGGCTTCCGCACCGTAGAAAAACTAAACAAAACTACGGGCCCCTTAGAAGCAGGGTATAGGACTTTGGGGTCTTTCGGGGCCTACGCCCAAGGCCTCAATCTCCCCCTCCCCCTCCCCCCCAAAAAAAACTACTACACAGCACTGAAAACAGCTCGGGATGTCGGACTGAGGGCTCTACAAGAAACGCCTCTGCAAGATGCTTCTAACTTGAACCTTGGCAAACCCTCATATGGAGCGCTTATCTTACCTTTGGTTAGTAGGGAATGGTGGAAGGGGTATAATTATAACTACTATTACTACCATTCTTCCGTTCCCTTACTAATCAAAGGTAAGTTATGAAACCCTATACCCATGCTGCAAAACCACCTATGAAACCTGACAAACTGGATCTCCTATCAAAGCCTGAACAGAAACGCACGAAAACCTTGCCAAAACCCGGGTCCCTTTTTGGGTACCCTAAATATTAGGTGCCGTATTATCATAGGGACCCAAAAAGGGATCCTAATTTTGAC